TAAAGCAAGTGTGAACGCACTTAATTACTTTAATTTATCTACTCTTCATCAGATTCGACCGGTGGTTTATTCAGGTCAAATTTCACAACTGTTGCATGAGCATCCTCTCCTTCATCACCTCCTTGGTAGACATCGGCCTCTTCCGCCTGAGGCCTCTCAATCAAATAAGTGGAATTTGCTCTGTCGTCCAAAGAAATGGTCACGCCGTCACCTTCCTTCAAACCAAGCTGGTCAACAACGTATTTCCAGCCAGTTTCCAGGAGAACGAGGCGATCCTGAGTTCGTCCGAGTGAGAAGGTGACTGGGAACTCGCGATTTCCACTCTTCAATGTCGCACCAGCATGTCGACTTTCTTCCTGTAAGGTCGCGGGCAAAAGATGACGAAGTGTCTGCATTACCGCTTTTGGAAAGACAAGTTTTTTGAGGTATGAGTAGCGAAGAGTTATAGAGGCAACCACGTTTTGCTCTTCCGCCATTATAGATTGATTCACGCTCTACTGATAAGGAAGAAGGATGCCTGTGTGTTGAGGGCCGCTGGCTTAGCCCGCAATTTATAGAGCGGGGGTAAAATGAAATTGCGAAATTGCCCTTGGCGTTGCATGCTGTCCGTTTGCAGTTGGTGTTGCATTTTGGTGATGCATTTTGGTGTTGCATTTTGGTGATGCATTTTGGTGATGCATTTTGGTGTTGCATTTTGGTGATGCATTTTGGTGATGCATTTTGGTGTTGCATTTTGGTGATGCATTTTGGTGATGATGTCCCTTTCCTTCCATTTGGTGATGATGTCCCTTTCCTTCCATTTGGTGATGATGTCCCTTTCGCAAATTACTACTAGCAGCGGGCCTGACCACCCTCGCCGTACATAATGGACTAATAAGGGACCCAGCCTTAGAAAATATATAATCTGTCTTTTAAGTATGTGGTTAGTATTGTTGAATAGTTTATAAAGATTTAATATCTCACATAAAAAATTAAAAAAAAAAAAAGAGAAGTAAAGTTCGGAAATCTAAAGGGATTTATAAATATTTATTTTTTATCAGTAAATAGTTAAATAGAGTGATTCAAAATAAATTAGATCTTACCTTTTTATATATAGTGGAAGTGACTCAAGACAAGTTGATTGTCAGAAGTTAATTTTATTTTTTATTTTTATTTATTTTTAGATTTTTTAATTTATCTTATTAAATTTAAATTTAAAAAGACATATTAAAATCAGACATAACTTTTGATAGTTAAAAGGTATTTTTATAAAATGGTGTTTTTAGAGAGATATGTCCTTATAAATAGTGACTTTTTAGGCAATATAAATTCTAATGTAAAATCAAAATTTAATATGTAATTCTGAAAGAGTTTTAAATTCTATTATATACCGAAAGATTTTAATAATGAGATCACGCCTTAAACTTTCCTTTTATTCTTGTGCCAATTTTCTTTTTTTGTTTTTAACAAACATTCAAGCCATATACAGTATAAAATTAAATTGTATTATTATGTTTTAATTTTTAATACATGCATTACAGGTTAAGTTGAAAGTCCGAATAACACTCTAAGGGTGTTTAAGAATTGTCAAAATCACATACAACAGCCCTTTTGGTTTGCCAAAAAAAAAAAATGAAAAAGAAGATTTTCATTTGTATCTTTA